TGCCGGTGCAGCTCCCCGCTTCCGTCCCCAAGCCCGCTGTAGCCTAAGCAACGCCTCTTGCACTCGGCAAGAGATCTCCCTCTCGTTTCTGAATTTGAAACACAAACTGGTTCGTACCCCGGGTTTTTCACTTTGTTACCAGGACCATTAATTTTAGAAACACGGACATTTACAAACCTTACAGCTGTACGTGGGGAACTCCACGTGCCGGGCATTTTTCAGAGCTGAAGCCATCTAGGAAACGAACAGCGGCACGTTCGATAAGCTGCAATAGCCTTTTGAAAAATTCCTATTTTGAGACAAGGCAACAAAAAGGAAGAGTAACCTACTTTTGCTTTGCTTTATCCGATTTTCCAAAATAGCAGAGAGGAAGGCAAGTGTGTTTTTAATCTCCACGTACGTTCTGACATCCTGCTTGGGGGGGAGGGAAGCTAGATTATAAAATTGCCTCCGCTCTGCCTTTTACAGGAATGCTGTGTCTTTCACATTTATCAGAGTAACACATATAAAACGGTACCGTACTTACAGACGTACTGTCAAACCCCCAGTCTCGCAGGTAGCGGCGGAGCTCGGGTGCCAGGAGCGGCTGCAGCGCGGGCCCTGCTGACCAGGCCGAAGGCAGCGGCTCCTCCAGCGCGGGGCCTGCGCCGACACTCCTGCCGAAACGGGAATCGTGTGGCCAAACGCTTTACACAAAATGGGGATTTACAATCTTCCGTTTCGAGTGGGAAAAAGGACTTAAATATGGCATAGCTTTTAAGTATCAAGTAGATGAGGACGGGACAGAGAACTGAGGAACCTCCCCGCTTCACCGGCAGGCCGAACCCCCGCGGCATCGCGTACGAGCCAGTGACACCACGGAAGAGTTCACGTTCAATGCGTATCGCGTCACGGTTTAATAAAGCGATCGGCGTGCGGCCCTGGTGTAACTTCACGTTTCAGAGGTCTCGCTGTCGGAAGGGTGGTCCTTCCTTGTGCCTGTTCTTGCAGTGAATAGTTGGCAGTTCTCAAAAAAAAGGACAAGAAGTCAATTTTCTACAGACATTTTATTGATGAACAATTATTTCTTCTCTTGTATGGCTTTTCACACAGTAAAATAAGGAAATTTTTACTCCATAAATAATAAAAATTAGCCCTTATATCTCAATCCAGACAAAAATCTATGTAAAATAGTTTGTTCTATATTTACATTCTGTACCAAAATAGGAAAGACATGTTCAAGGTCAGCTCAAAACAGTTTTGTCTCCAAGGTAAGCTTCCCATTAAAAAGTCAACATTTGCACTTTGGAAGCGTAAGACCCTGGTGCTTAACGCACAAACAGACCCAAACCCAAGGAACGCTGCAGGCCAGCGGGCACACACGCCTTCAGCCCAGCGAAAGCTGCGCGCTCAGCCTCGCGGGGGAAAGACCTCGACCCGCGCAGCTTGGCCGACAAGTCCCTCGTAGGGAACGCGGGACGAACGGACACGCACCTCCCTCTCTGCTGAAATCTACCCAAAGGGAAAGATTTGCGGGGCAGGAAGATTTACAAACAACTGGCCTTTGGAAGGGACTGTGGATACGCCTGGGCTTAAGCACCATCCGTCTGGCTCATATCCGAGTGCTCGGCAGAAAGAAGGAGCTGCGTTGGACCGAGAGTCAGCTAACGGAGCCAGAATTCTCTGCTGGTGCTTAACCTACATCCAAGGCCGTCGGAGTCTCCCAGGACCTCGACTCCTTTCAGGAGGAGCGAACTGCCTGCTCTGCAGCGTAACTCTACTTGCTGCGTACTCCAGCCCAAAGCTGTCCTCGTAACAGTCCGCAACGCTAGACAAACACGTTCCTAAGGCCTGACGGCCTCGGCTTCTCGTGGAAACGCTAGAGATCTGAGCCACCAGGGTAACCAAGAGACTGGGAGACTCATCCCCTTCCATCAGCAAACGTGGAATGTCTTTTAAAAGATGAAAACTGCGGACACGACGTACAGCAAACATTGCCGTACAGCCAAGCTAACCCAACCATCTCTCGGCGCTCTTCCCAGGGCTCCTGCTGCCCTGTCTGCTCCGGGGAAAGCACAAAGGCTAATCTGGGCGCTATCTCACAGCTCTCATGACGAGAGATGCGCTAGGAGGGACTCACCGCAATGGGATGGGCCCCCGAAGCCGCTGCCTGCCAATTTGGTGTTTGTTTAAAACTGGCTTTCACAGGGGAAGCCACGCTGAAGGCTACCTGATTGGTTTAAGCTGCAGTTTTAGCTGTGTTCAGTCAGAAGCGGCTTACGCTCCCTGCTGTACTTGCTCTGCTCTTAAAAACCTGAGGCATGTTTCTGCTTAATTCACCTCCCCATCTGGAAGTTCACAGCAGGCTGGAAGCCCAACTCAAACACAACCGACGTAGTCCGTTTTACCCAAATATTCCGACAGCCACCGACTCCTCCTCACTTTGAACTTGCCACGTTTCTCGGCAGTTCCAATGCACCGACGGGATAGAACAGGTTGGATTTCACTGGCTGAAGTACCTTCCCCCCCTCCCTTCCCCCCCAGTCCCGACTCCCCAAAGTCACGTCCAGTTACGCAGTTCACAGCCGGCTGAAGAGCTGCCCGTCAAAGAAATTATGACTGCACCCTCGGATGATTAAGGCAGGAGTAGTTTTACTTCACTGGAGTCGCTGACGCGGGGTACAACGCACTACGGCCCCCTCCTTCAGCCAACGGGCATGGTTCAGCGGTAGGTAACGGTCGACTTGCTACGCCATCGCTCAGCGAGTTCCCAGGAAGGGACAACGAAAGAAGGAAAGCCCTCAAGATAAAAATATTCAATTAAATATGACCAAATCTCACACTTACACAGGCAGGAGACTGCCGTATCAAATACCAAGCACAATAAATTAACACCAGTAAAAAAGTTTAACAGTTACAAAGTTAACCGGAAAGTTCAGACAGTGCAAATATTTCACAGTAAGAAAAAATAACCAATAATTTCTTTTCAAGTATCAAAAGCGTCGTTGAGGGATACCGTTTACACTGCCTTATTGCACGACAGACAGACAACACGCCACCGACCTCTGGGCCCTCGGGTGTCTCCTCAGGTGTTTTCCAGGAGTCAGTTTATGCCAGCTGTTGATTGTGCATGTATTCAAACAATCCGTGCTCACTTCTTAGTGGTTCTTCGTTCAAACGCGTACACATTGAAAGCATGTGATTCCTCATTTCTATTGCTTCTCAGAAACACCCGTTCAAGGCTAGCCTAGGCCTTGTAGAAGCCCAAGCAAACTTCACCTGCAGCTATGGTGGGGAACGAGCCCAGGGCAAGGTACTCTCCCAACGGCGATGCCTTCGGACAGTTTTAGGTTGCAGCTGACCTCAGTAGTGTCGCGAGAGTTTCTTTAAATAAAACAAGTCCAGCAGGCACAGAGATTTTCTTACAATTACAATGGAAGTCCTATTATTAAACTACTTGAAATGTAGCTAAATAAATTTTACTCCACACCCCTTCCGTTCCCCTACCTTTCACTGTAGAAAGGGATCTAGTCACTGACAACTGTAACATCACAGCACATTTAAGAAGCAGAGTAACATCATCTTTCTCCTTGTATTTGCCCTTTTTAGTGCATGGGGCACGTCTGTTCCCTAAGTTTAACACGCCTCCAAAAATGAGAACGATCCTAACAGGACAGACAACGGACTGCACCGCGTGACAGTGTCTTTTACTCCAAACAGGATTATTGGTAACACTTCAGAGAGTCAGGAACAAACAAAAACATCCTTACAGATGTATTATAGAACAGCTGTCCTTGGCTAGGCAGATTTGCTCATCTCCTCCCTCCTACGTATTTTGTCCATCAAGTGGCACCAAGGTGTGCCCTCACATGGTTCAAAATCTCTGATTCTCAACCTATTACAAATAACTCGAATAATCCATAGTATTTCTATGTCCAAGAAAAAGTGGAGGGGGGGAAAAAAAAAAAAAAAGACAAATCAGACTTTTCTTTACACACTCAATACAGATTTTGGTCTAGAGCAGTCAGTATGGTCCTGTAAGGTTCTAGCTGCCATCACTACAATGTGCCCTTCAACCAAAAGTGAGAACAGCTGCGTTTATGTTCATACGATTTAAAAAAAATAACAACCCCATTAAGAAACCAATCAACAAAATCAAAAATCATCAGAAATCTTATCCCAGTTTTACAGACTGGGTGTCTGTACTGAAATGCATTTGTCTAGCAAATTATTCTGAGAATATTCAAACATCTGATGTATTAATTTCACGGTAGAACTGGCACATGCTAAATGAGAATGGGATTTCTAGACAGTTGTCTTGGTTACCAGGCCCAAATGCCACTTGGTGCATGTAGGAAGGTTTAGGTGAACCCCAAGAATTTGCTGCTCTACTACAAACTGGTACGAATTCCGAGAAGCTTCCAAGTTGTAGAGACAGTGGCCAACCACTGGTTTATCCCATTAAATTATTTCTTCCCCCCAAAAATTCTAAGAATTGACAAACTGCACAAAACCACTCCCTACCCCTCGCTAGGCCTGGGTTATTAGCAGTGATGACAACTGATTTTCACATGGCTTTTGACTGAACCACTGAGGTATATTCCCGGTTTGAGGATGCTTTGCTAGCAGTCACACAGAGGACAACAAAAATAAAAGAACCAAACCAACCCTCAGTTCCATTACAGAGGAGTTCTTGTTTCACATCTTGACTGAGCTGCCAGATAGTCCAACACAGTTGTCATAGTGGATCTTGTTACTGCGTCAAAAAAAAAATAAATCAAAGGTTGCAATTCAGGAAAATACTGGCACTTATTGAGATGACAAGGTAGGTTTTCCTCCTCTCAAACTCTGGCTGCTTTTGTCAGTACCTCCCCGACTCCTGTCTGCACCGATACTTGCCAGGAGAGATGAGGTTCACCAGCAGACCTGCCTGCGGGGACCAAACGCCTCCGTGCTCCACAGTGGGGAGTGCAGCATGACGGTGTATCGCCTCGGAACATCTTCCTGCCCCATACTTCACTCTACGCGCAGAGGAATAATCCGGCGAGCAGGGGAATTAAGTTGGCTATCAACAGCCAAAGGGTTACCACCAGGCTAGATGAGCAGGAGCATAAGTCTAAAATAAAAAACAACACATCGTAAAGCTTCTGAATTCATATATTTAAAGAGAAGATAAAATAGCAAAGAGAAAACTAAAAAACCACCAAAGAGCAAAACCAAATTTGCAGTAACATGCACTGATTTAGCCTAGCTTTCAAGGCTAGGATTTAAAATCAACCAAACAACATGATTAGTCCCTTTACGATCAAATAAATTTCTGCATTTCTTCACTAATAGCAATTAGGAAAACAAATGAGGAAGAGAAAACACTGGATTTGCAAGAGAAGAGCAGGAAGTTCCCTATGGCATGACGGGGGAGAAGCAGTGTTTCAAAACCACAGACTCTTAAGAGATTGTTTTATTAATACTTTCTAACTGTATGGCTGTAAGTCCTGTGAAAACCTGAGCCACAAAACAGCAACCTGAAAAGGAGGGGGGGGGAAAAAAAAGGTGGGGAGAAACCCCAATGTTTGAATGAGGGAATTTGTCCGTATGGCAGTTAGTCACACAGCCATGAGGCTTAAGAAAACCAGGGACACGACTGTAAACTTGCACAGATAAACACCTTGATATACACATACACACACAGACACGTGTGTGAGAAAGACCAAGCATGAAGGTGTCCCTGCCCATGGCAGGGGGGTTGGAACTAGATGATCTTTAAGGTCCCTTCCAACCCAAACCGTTCTGTGATTTAGGTAGGTACTAGAAGATGTGAATCTCCTAGGTTCCAGCTTTCTCAGTCTGAAATCTCACCTGCAGGACCTGTTCCACCAACTGCCGAGACACAGCTATTTGGACACCCAGACCCCAGTGCATCGCTCTGAACAGAGAAAGGAGCGTGCAGGTACACTAAACAGGTTTAATTTTTCCTTGAAAACGGCAGTAGAGACAGCACATACAGCAACTAAAGAATGGGTTAAAGGCTTAAAAATAAGCCCATAGTGCAACATACTGTAAAGACTGTTCTCTTTCATCAGCTGGCTTCTAAAAAGCCAGCTGTTCTTGACAGAACATTACCTGAATTAAGCTTTTTTCCTCCCCCAAAAAGCAAACTGATACCTACTTTCATGTTCTGGATTACGGCATTAACAAAGGGAAGTTACACAACTGAGAATTCACTTTCCATCACTGTGATAATTTTGAAAGTTATAATCATAGAATCACAGAATGGTTTGGGTTGGAAGGGACCTTAAACATCATCTAGTTCCAACTCCCCTGCCATGGGCAGGGACACCTTGAACACTAGACCAGGTTGCTCCAAGCCTCATCCAGCCTGGCCTTGAACACTTCCAGGGATGGGGCATCCACAGCTTCTCTGGGCAACCTGTGCCAGTGCCTCACCACCCTCTCTGTGAAGAACTTCCTGATATCTAATCTAAACCTCCCCACTTTCAATTTAAACCCGTTACCCCTTGTCCTGTCACTACAGACCCTTGTAAAAAGTCCCCCCCAGCTTCCTTGTAGCCCCTTCAGGTACTGGAAGGCTGCAATAAGGTCTCCCCGGAGCCTGCTCTTCTCCAGGCTGAACAAGCCCAACTCTCTCAGCCTGTCCCCATAGCAGAGGGGCTCCAGCCCTCAGAGCATCGGCGTGGCCTCCTCTGGACTCGCTCCAACCAGTCTATATCCTTCTGAAGTTGAGGGGTCCACAGCTGGATGCAGCACTCCAGGTGGGGTCTCACCAGAGCAGAGTACATAATAATGATACGGGCTTCAAAACACGGTCAGATTTGCTGGTAAGTGGCTAGGCCAAAGCTAGATTCTTCTGGTACCATCTCCAGGAGGAGACGTGCCATGAAGCAGTTATGTTTCAGACAGATCTCCTGTGTCAGCCACCAGCGGGCACAGGAAAATGCAGGGCACCTTGGCCATCTGCCTTGAACTGCCATGACTGGGATCTTACAATAGCCAGGCCATTGCTCTCCTCTCCTGCTCCCCGGTGCTCACAGCTGACACAAACCTTCACGGTTTTCAGACACGTACTATTGTTTCACTTCAGCAAATAAGGAGGTAATTAGTGACAGCCAACAAGGCTTCACTGGGGCAAATCCTATCTGACAAACTTGAATGGAGGTACAGTACTAATGGATAAGGGAAGAGCAACTGATGTCATCTACCAGGACTTGTGCAAGGCATTTGTCACTGTCCCACATGACACCCTTGTCTGTAATTTGAGACGAGTGGGTTTGACAGGTGAACCACTCGGTGCATAAGGAACTGGCTTGATGGCCACACTCAGAGTGGTGGTTCGACATCTGAATGGAGACCAGTGATGAGCAGCGTTCCTCAGGGGTCAGTGTTGGGACTGGTACTGTTTAACATCTTTGTCAGTGACATGGACAGTGGGATCGAGTGCACCCTCAGCAAGTTTGCTGACGACACCAAGCTGTGTGGTACGGTTGACACGCTGGAGGGAAGGGATGCCATCCAGAGGGACCTGGACAGGCTGGAGAGGTGGGCCACTGCCAACCTCATGGAGTTCAACAAGGCCAAGTGCAAGGTCCTGCACCTGGGTTGGGGCAATCCTGAGCACAAGGACAGGCTGGGCAGAGAACGGATGGAGAGCAGCCCTGAGGAGAAGGACTTGGGGGTGTTTGTTGATGAGAAGCTCAACAAGACCCAGAAATGCGCACTTGCAGCCCAGAAAGCCAACTGTATCCTGGGCTGTATCCAGATGCTCAGAGGGCTGGAGCAGGTTCTCTGGGGACAGGCTGAGAGAGTTGGGCTTGTTCAGCCTGGAGAAGAGAAGGCTCTGGGGAGACCTTATAGCACCTTCCAGTACCTGAAGGGGCTACAAGGAAGCTGGGGGGACTTTTTACAGGGGCCTGTAGTGACAGGACCAGGGGTAACGGGTTTAAACTGGAAGCGGGGAGGTTTAGATTGGATATTAGGAAGAAGTTCTTCCCGGAGAGGGTGGGGAGGCACTGGCACAGGTTGCCCAGAGAAGCTGTGGATGCCCCATCCCTGGAAGCGGTCAAGGCCAGGCTGGATGAGGCTTTGAGCAACCTGGTCTAGTGGAAGGGGTCCCTGCCCATGGCAGGGGGGTTGGAACTAGATGGTCTCTAAGGTCCTTCCCACCCAAACCATGCTGTGATTCTACGAAATAAGGCAACCTACCGATTGGTGCAGCTCTTGTGAAGTTAGAAGCTGGAGGATCCCGCTCTGGGGGACAGGAGTCACAGAAGTCCGAACAGGCTGGGCAAATCAGATTCCCAACATGTATCCAGCCATTCATCTGGATGCTCACAGTTAATACCTGACCTGAGCGGCTGCACAAGTACGCAGTGTCTTTGACCCAAACATGCAGCCCTTGTGAAGAACAAGAAACCTTCAAATAAAAGAGAAGTCAAGTCACTATTATAATTTATCAACAATACATTTTGGGGCTTGGAGGCTCTTTCAGTAAGTAAATACTACATTCAAAAAATGGCTGGTAATAAAGCATAAGTTAACTACAAGTATTTTAATGTGCTCAGAGCAACTATTTGATTCAAGAACACTTTAAGCACTGACTGTACTCTTTTCATGCAATTATGCAGATCAACTGAGAACAAGTAAAATCCGTCTTCTGCTAATGACTACTTTTTTAGAGTTGTGCCGTGTTGGAAGTGACACCTTTAGTGAGACACTCCTGACAAGAAAGAGGATAATGAAAAGTAAGCAACATGTGTACAGTGCTTTCAGAAAATTCCAGTACAAGAAATTCCAGAAAATTCCAGTACAAATACTCCCACTTAGCTGTGGAGAAAGTGTCACAGGGGTAAGACAGATGAAGCCCCTAGACAGCCTGGAGGTAACACGCAGGCCATCCCAGTGGTCAGACCTTAACTTGATGTGTGATCTAAACTACAGGCTTCTGGTTGGATGATACTTATTTTCAAACTGTATGTCACAGCATCTAGTGATTTAAGACAGAGACAATCACGTACAGTATCCAGGTGCAAAGTTCTAACAGCCACAGCCTACATTTTATGCATGACTTTTCCCTTTAGTGTTATTTTTAAATAATTGAGATAAAACCACCACACTTACTTGATAACATCCACTACCCCAGTCAGGGTAACTGAGTTTCCTCCTACACTGTTCCATGACAAAAGCAGATTTCTGAATAAGACATACAGAGTTTGGTCCGTATTTCTCTGCCCCATAGTTTTTGGTAGGATCTAAGGTAGAAAGAATACACCGAATTGCAGCTTACTAGGGGAACAAAGTCCCCATCAACTTAATACGCTATAATGAGGCAGTGTCTCCTCACACAATTCAAGGTTTACTCTGGTTATCTTTCAGATCATTAATCGTTATCGATTTGGGAATTATACTGTCTTGAATATAAAGTGGGAAGAAATGCAAGATTAAAAAAAAAAATTAAAAAGCAAGTAGGTTCCACCAGAACCGTGTGGATGCGTTTGCCCCCAGGGAGCGAGTGCCGGCTGTGATGGCTGGCTGGAGAGCGCAGCCTGTGTGTTTCTGAGACAACTGCTCCGACAGGTAATATCCTACGGCATTCTGGAGCTGTGCGAGAGTGAACGTTGGGGCGCCACGCCAGGAGCCAAGCCCGTGCGCTGGGAAATCACAAAGCTCCTTGCCTTGAACAACAGCCTACAGAGGTGGAACGTGGAATTATTTACCAAGACTCAAAATGCAACCAACCAACCCACTTCCACCCTTTGGCTTACATTCGCATCGTTTGGGGTTAATTTCTGTCCAGCCCGTGCACGATTCTTGTATTAGATGTGAGTGTTTGCTTCCTACGTGTACAAGGTGGTTGTGCTGGGCTTCTCAGTCCAGCACAGCTTTTGCACAACTATTAGTGTACAACCGATGTCACATCCAATTAGACTGGATATACAGCAAGTCCATGCCAGATTAACAAATCTAGTCTCTTAAATACCATACTGAAGTCCTGAAAACTGACCTGGTTGGTTTTCAGTTATTCTACAGTCTGAGCTGCGTTGAAATTCACCACTTAAATGCCAACTGAATTCTTGACTAAAGGGACAGTAGTCAGCAATTTCTACTGAGCCACCGTAATAAGGCAATTCTTCTGCTGGTACTCCGTTGAGATTGTCAAAATACTGCAAAACAAAACAGGTAGGAAAGCAGTTTGCACGAAGACAAGTGTACAGCTGTTTCTTAAATAGAACCAAATCACTACAGCTCTCAGAACATCAGCTCTCAGGAATGCTATTAACAGTAGCTCACAATACCCATGAACCAGATAAGTCTGGTATTTAAGTATTTAAGAATACTTTAATAATGCAGAGAGATTCACATTTGCATGTACCACGCCCCACCCCTTCCCTCTGCAATCATAGCATTCTCTGGGATGAAACAGAACAAATTCCTTAGCGCACAAGGACACAAGGCAGCAGCCTGGGGGAAGAAATACCTCGCACAAAACATTCTGAGGGGCTTTGTAATACAGCAACACCTCCATCCCCTATTTGGTTAGGTAACCACAAGGCTTTTTTCAGCCTCCAGACTCATAATAAACTAAGCAGACATTTTTCACAGTATCTACTCTTGTCTACTAGTTCAGAGGGAAAAAACCAAACCAACAAAAAAAAAATTCACCTAGCTGCAAAGCACAAGAATGAAAATACTTAGCTATTTGGTGAATTAAGATCTATTATACCTGATATTCCTGAGGTAACTGCTTTGGAAACTTCTGCAAATTGCACACTGCCACTGCTCTTTGGTCCTGTCTGCAGGTTAACTGCAAAGGGTTGCTCCTCAAAGTGTCGCAGTATGGACTGATTAATTGCCTCCTCAAAGAAAAAAGAAAAAAAAAAATCACATTGGATCACTAACTGCTTGTCATAATTTAACTAAGCAGTCTGTCAAGACGGTCCCCGCTCTCCTCTACCTTCAGTTAATCACATAAAGAAGCACTGACTGCTTCTCTGGAGACTAATTATTGTTATTTGTCTGGGTAGGACCCTCCTAATTTAAAGGATATCAAGCCAGCAGTTACAATGCACTCGCCTCTGTAGTTTTAATGAGGTTGGTATGTAAACGTTACAGAAAAACAACACACAAGCAAAACAGGCCCACTACAGCTGTGTCCTGGCAATTTATCAGTACTGCAGCAAGCACACAGGAAGGCTTTGTTTTGAAGATGGCTGTCATCACCTTCTGTTACTTTAAGTACAGTCCAGTAAGGCAAAATGACACGGGCTGTGTTTCCAATTAAAAGGGAGAAAGCAAACACACTTAGATTAAGTCTCTCCCCTCCTCTCTAAAGCACGGTCCTCTTACAGCACAAATGCATTCTACACCCTCAGATGTGTGGCTCTGCACGCACTGGGTGGGATGCTTATGCTTGTACTGCACTTGGTGTGCTCCCTGGATGTATCCTGAAGGTCCTTGGACAGCACTCCTCCGTCTCTATCCACCTCCACTTCTTTTTACCGAGTAGCATTTGCAGGATAAACGTAAACAAGCATCAGGGTTTCCTCCATATTTTCATTTAAAGACTGAATTCTTACTTTTGCCTCTTTTGGTCGATCCAGAATTTACAGCTCTTCATTACAAAGTCACAGCCTTTACTGCGTCCCCAGTCTAGCTTCTCTGCCATGCTGTAATTGGCTTTATACCAGCTGTAAAGGTATTTTGAAATGAGAATTCAGTGACTTCAAAAATCAGCGTTCTGATTAATAAAACAGCAGTTCAAAGAACATCATACTATGCCTTAAGGTCTTCAAATGAAGAAAAAGGGAAATTGAATCCCTTTCTGCCTATAAAAATAAAATTACAGTTTCACTGTTTTTCAGGTCACAGCAAACTGAAAGAAAATTTTATCTTTCATTTGCTCAACAGCAACGCATCGTGATCCACAAAGGAACGGTGCATACAGAAAGATGAAGTTTTTGACAGTTTATGCTTTCTATCTGCAAGAAGAGCTGATTATGTACTGCATGCAACTGAGAGGAGACTTCCATTAAGGAAAAAAGTGAACAGACTCTACAACCAGCACTGTGCACTGCAGTGCATGATTTTTGTAAGGCTACATTAAGAATGGATGGGTTTATGACATACATGAAGAAAAATTAACATACTAGGTATAATTCCTTCTCTAATGTAATGCTAATTATGCTGATTACCTACTGTGTTGCAGATGGATAAGCACAAGTGCATCAATTGGCCAGGAGGTCGAGGGAGCTGATTCTCCCCCTGTACTCTGCTCTGGTGAGACCCCACCTGGAGTGCTGTGTCCAGCTGTGGAGCCCTCAACATCAGAAGGATATAGACTGGTTGGAGCGAGTCCAGAGGAGGCCACGAAGATGCTCAGAGGGCTGGAGCCCCTCTGCTATGGGGACAGGCTGAGAGAGTTGGGCTTGTTCAGCCTGGAGAAGAGAAGGCTCCGGGGAGACCTTATAGCCCCTTCCAGTACCTGAAGGGGCTACAAGGAAGCTGGGGGGGACTTTTTCCAAGGGCCTGTAGTGACAGGACAAGGGGTAACGGGTTTAAATTGAAAGTGGGGAGGTTTAGATTACATGTCAGGAAGAAGTTCTTCCCAGAGAGGGTGGTGAGGCACGGGCACAGGTTGCCCAGAGAAGCCGTGGATGCCCCATCCCGGGAAGTGTTCAAGGCCAGGCTGGATGAGGCTCTGAGCAACCTGGTCTAGTGGAAGGTGTCCCTGCCCATGGCAGGGGGGTTGGAACTGGATGATCTTTAAGGTCCCTTCCAACCCAAACCATTCTGTGATTCTATGAATTCCAAATAAAATCAAGTACAACGAAAACCAAACAAATGAACCCAAAAATACCCCCATTCTTATTAATTCTTACCCTGTGTCTTCCATTAATGCTAAGGTGATCCTGGAAAAGACTCGATTCTGTGTATGGGATCCAGTCATTGCTTCATTCTGAAAGTTAGCAGTTACTTTAACAAGTTACTTCGCAAACCACTGCAAATCATTACTGTAAGAAAATGCTTCCTATGAGAAAGCTTTTTTATTTCCAGTCCCCTCTTACTATTGACAATCAAATCCCAATCCCTTTCATAAAAGGGATCAATAGTGAAAACCCCTTCCCCACTCCACTCTACAAAGCTTTAGAATTCTAGAAGTCAGAAGCCTCATTCCAAATTTCAGCTAAACCTTATTTATGACCAACACGTCCTTGTTGTCCTTTAGGTAAAATAAAACTATTCCTTCTTCCAGCATATTTATGAGTAGCCACCCCGTCCCCCTCTTCTGTCTCCTTTTGGTAAGCGGAAAGCCAAGCTCACTTAACTGCCTTACGCAAGACCGATTTTCCATTTTCCTAGAATTTCCAGTAGTCCTTTTCAGGAGTGAGGTGCACAGGACTGAAGGAACACAGCACTCCAAAGGAAGCAGTGGAATTCTCCATCTTACTTAAAAATAAGCAGGTTCACACCATCCTCAAGGAGCAACTCCAGTCACCTTGAAGTTTCCTAACCGTCTTAGGACCGGCAATTGTAACGCCCATGACTTCTTCCCGCACAGCCATTTCCAGCTGATAAGCTTCAGGCTTACAGCAAGTCCCTGACCCTTAATTACACAACTCTGGGACTTGTAGGACTGAATTTCATCTCATTTTGATTATCTCTTCAAAACACGCAGTTTCCCAGCCTTCCCTCTTCACTAGGGTGGTTGGGAGGAGTTAGCTACACCAGCAGACTTACTAGTGCCAAATTTCCTACCACTGCAGTACTTCCCGAGAGTTGGATCAATCCCAAAGCCATACTATACGTGTTACTTTCCAGGTACAAACTTCTTCTGGAACGGTGTAAAGGAGACGAGTGATTATCTCCTTCTTGTTAACCTTATTCAATCCTTAGAACCATCCACATTCTAACGGCAGTCTTTCCACTTGGCTTTAAACTACTGTTCCACCCCAAAGCTTATTGAAAAGCAGGAAAAGCTAACACTTTCAGTGTTAAGAAATACGCATTTTTCAAGAGTACTTCCACAAAAAGGTCTGTCCTGAAGCATTTCCCTTCTCGTCTCCCTCACTGCACGCAGCAAGAACTACAAAGTTGTATTTCTGCCCAAAATATCACACCACACAAAGCCATAAATAAAAATAAGCTTAAGCGTCAGGAGGGAAATAAGTTTTTCCTTGATCAGATGAGGTTCTGGAGTAGAGATGGCAAAAGCTAACACCAGGGCACATGAATAAAGATGAAGCCAAGATAATGAATAGGGAGAACGATTAAATATTTGCTGTCTGAGAGGCAGAGGGTGACAGAGTTGAACTGACCCAAAGGATACCTACCACCTTTCCCCTGAAAAGGGAGCGTACCTTCTCAAAAGGTAAATGGCAGATGAGACATTTGGGTTTTTAGTAATCAGCTTATCTCAAACTCGTACTCTGAGACTTAGCAGGATAGATTTATCTAGAAACTGGACATTTAAGTGTGTGTAGTCTAGTACTGTTGGTGATCTATTTCAGTGAGGTTTGAGACACCTGCATTTTCACCACTATAAACCTAAAAATAAAGGCGGGAGGGAGCAGATATTCCCACACCCTCCCTCCATTCCCAGTATCAGCACTGACCTCCAACAATCTCTTCTCCCAGTGGTTGAGCTCAGTACCCATGCCACCTTGATTTTCAAGCTCCATTCCCTCTAGAATTGGACAACTGAAATGTTTTCGAGCTTCTTCCTAGAGAGAAAAGATTTCAACACAACCCTCACAGTACTGAGATGGATACCCATATGCACTCCTAATCTTCCACAATTATCTTTTAACAGGATTTCAGCATTTCTTTTTTCTACCATCTTGTTTTCCTCCGAATGTAAAACACTTCGGCTCAGAGGCTGACTAAACCAGCAAGTACCCCACCACCAAACCTAACAACCTGTCTACTTGTCTCCTGGAAATAAATGATGGAGGTTGACAAGAATAAAACAGCAACAGAATTAGCTGAGAACAGCATGCCCACACCTTATGAAAAAAAAAAAACAACAGCAAAACACACCAAACAATGCAGGAACAACTAGAACCCTGCTTCTGTCAGAGGGTTCAGAGAAAAAACACCTTATTAGGCAGCGTACGTGTCAACTAGTTCTGCACAAAGTATTTCCTGCAAAATACTTGAAAACTGTAGTCATCTCACATCAATATTTTCAGACCGTGGTCTTGCAGTCAGGAGCCCAGCCCCTGCCCCTGCAGCACTACCCAGGAGCACCTTCAGTGCTCTCAACAGTTTGACCAGGGTAATTAAACCAAGTTTGCTCCATATCCTGTGGTTGTTTTCAATCTAACAAAAAGATTATTTGTGGCCAAATATGATTAACACTGTAACTTAATTCCAATACCAGTTTATTGCACTTAAGCATATGTTCTGCTGGGGCGGTGGGGGGAGTCAGAGGCGTGGGAAGATTTCCAAGAATACTTGAGGAATTTCTTTTTAAACATGACAAAATGTTAACTGCAGTATTCTGTAATAGAAAAATATTAAAACAATGCTTTTAAAGAGCTTTCCAAGCACAAGTACAGGCTGGG